TTCATTTTTACTTTCCAATTTTTCAACTTGATTTTCTAGTTTTTCGTTTTGATTTCTTAATTCATCATTTTCTTTTTGTAAATAACCTTTTTCAGTTTTCAAAGAACAATTTTCTTGTAATATTAATTGTACTTCGTTTTGAGATAATTTTCTTTGCCTTTGTAAAGAAAATAAGTATGTATTTCAAAATTATAATAAAACATATTACTTCAGTACTTACATAATTATTAAAAAAAATACGCGTTGAGATAAAACTAAAGATGACATCTTGAAAAATGCGAATAATATACAAAATAAAACCAATTATAAACTAACCATATTTATAGATCAACACCATTCAAACTATGAACCTGACAAATTTAGATTCATACTAAATTTATTAAATTTTATAATAAAAATGCGATATTTACCTGTTAAAAAAACTGTTAAAACGATTTTATTTATTCACTTTTTTTGCTTACCAAATTTAGATTCGTTTAAATATTTTTACTCTATACTGATCTACATATCGGAACATATCATATTAGAAAGTGCTTTATTTATTAATTTTATTAATTACATGTTCTTAGATTGAAAATACGCGGTTAAACCCGTAATCAACGCAGTCACCACAGACGCGACCGCCTTCTCTTGGTAAAGACAAAAAATAAAAACTAATGCAAAAATAAACATAAAAATAAACATCAAAACAGTAATTATAAACTGTCTTTCTTTTTCTTTTTCTTTCGAATAACGATTATGAAGTTTGTTAATTTGATTGTTATGTTCGGTTATAGAGATGGAATCATTATTTTCAAAATATTCACTGGCCCATTCATCTAAAAATTTATAAACAGTTTCTCTAAACCAAAATAAAATATTTAATAATTTAATAATTATAATAAAATAAATTAATAAAATAATAATTACTTTTCCATAATTAAGAACAAACGACGAGACAAAACTAAAGACATCTTGAAAAATTAACGTAAATAAATATACAAAATAAAATCAATACGAATTAACCATATTTATAGATCAACACTTAAACTATGACAAATTTAGATTCATACTAAATTTATTAAAAATAGAATGTGAAAACATGAAATTACGGGTTTTTAATCTTTTATTCTTAATTGGATATTTTAATAATTAGTTATAAGAGCATAGATAACTTTAATAAGTTATTAGACAAGAAAAGCCAGAACGTGATTGGTAATTGGAATTTCTAACTTGGAAATAATTTTTTTTAATCCGTTTTCATCCTGAAGCATTAAGAAACATAAGATAACAAGACATAAAAGAATGTATTTTTGATCAAATTTATTTAAGAATATATGAATAAAAAGAAAAAAAATAAACACTATATAAATA